GGTGGGGAGGTGGGGGGAGGATCGGTGATGGGCAGCGCCTGCCGCTCACCTGTTCTCCGTTTACCTGCCTCCAGCAATGCGCTTGCTCTTTTCGCTTCTTTTTTGCAACTCGCAGCTATTTAAGTCTTAGGTAGCGTGTTCCATAAACAGAACCTTAAACAAGGCGGGTTTACCGGGACTTTTCGACGGAGAGGGCAGACACTTTTGCAGACAAGTGTGCTTGGGCCACGTGGCGGTCTAGCTGCTTAGAAGCGCTGGGTGTTCTCAGGAAGGGGCCCCGCCGGGAAGTGACTCACGTGCTGACGCACGCCCGTGCCGTCGGCGGGGCCAAGTCCATTTTCCCAGCAAGGACACGGGCGGCCTGTAGCCACGTCTAACGCGGAGAGTTGAGTGTATCCGCCGGGACGTGCGTGGCGACACAGCTAAAGCCTTTTTCCGGACGATGCTGGATGGAAACCGTGCGGAGCAGCTGCCGTGTGAGGTCACCTGACGCGGTTCCCAAGGCTGCTGCCCTTCTGGTCCGATAGCTCCCCCGCAGAGACATGGATGGGACACGCGTGTCGCCGCTGCTCACGTGGATAACTCTGCCCTCCCCGCTGGCAGGGCCCGGGCCCCGGTTCTCAGAGCCGAGGTCTGCGGTCGCTGCCAGCTGGGGCCACAGCTGTGCCCGCGTCTCCTCGAGACGCTGGGGAGCAGGAGACAGCGGCGTGCACGCGACATGTTCAGGCTGCAGTTCTGTCCCACACGCGTCCTCCGTCAGAACTGAGCACGGGGTCCAGGTGATGGTGGACCCGGACAAGCCATACTCCCCATCGGTGTTGCCTCAGCCTCGGGGACCTGCTCGCTCCTCCTCCCCGGGTAGCAAGCCCACCTCCCACCACAGCGGGGGCAGCACGCCAGCCCCGCGCCAGGCCGTGTCAGGCCGCGCGTGTGCACGTGGAGGGGAGAAGGTGTTTGGCATCAGGGGCTCCTGGAAGGCGGGTGGCAGACACGCCTGTTCACCTGGAGCGTGTTGTAAAGCATGTAGACACCCGTGTGTCTGGAGCGTGTTGTAAAGCATGTAGATGCCCGTGTGTCTGGAGCGTGTTGTAAAGCATGTAGACACCCATGTGTATGGAGCGTGTTGTAAAGCATGTAGACACCCGTGTGTCTGGAGCGTGTTGTAAAGCATGTAGACACCCGTGTGTCTGGAGCTTGTTGTAAAGCATGTAGACGCTTGTGCGTCTGGAGCGTGTTGTAAAGCATGTAGACACCCGTGTGTCTGGAGCGTGTTGTAAAGCATGTAGACGCCCGTGTGTCTGGAGCGTGTTGTAAAGCATGTAGACGCCCGTGTTTCTGGAGCGTGTTGTAAAGCATGTAGACACCCATGCGTCTGGAGCGTGTTGTAAA